TGCATCACTCCACCCATCCCTCCCGGGTCCTGCTATGCAACATACCACCCTCCCCAAAGGACAAAAAACAGCGTTACGCTGGCCCTAGTATTCTGGGACCAGAGTCCCAAGTACACATTTTCCAAAGGACAGGGGTGCAGGTTCTGCTTTTGTGGCAGGGACTGGTCATTGGCAATCTTTTTCTTTGTTGTCGGCAAGCTTCTAAAAACAGCGGGGGGGTTGGGGCCCCCCCTTCTCAAGCCCCCCCTTCGCCGAACGATGATGGAGCATGCCCCCCTCTTAGCTCTTTAAAGTTTGACGGAACATGGTTCCCAAACCCAGGGTTCGAACTCGAACTCCCTGGGGGGAGGGAAGATGGTGCAGCTTGCCTGCATTGGTCATTCCTTGAGCGTACAGTTCTACGTGTGCACTGGGATGCCGTCTCCACTGGTCGGATTGCCGATTGTTGTTGCAGGATTTTTGGACCGTAAAGGCCCGAGACTTGCCTTGATAGACTCGACTAGAAACCCTCTTCTGAGTTCCGAGTGTGCGACGGGTACCTGACACCGACTGTCATTCCGCATACCGTTGTAGATGCGGCGAGATGGGCAGCGAGTTTTTGACTGACGAATTGCCGGGAACAGAGCACAGCTTGGTGCACTGGGGGTTTGCTGCGCATGTCGGATTTGCATGACAGCTCGTTTTGACTATCTTCAGCAGACTGGTGCCGCATAAAGAATGCTCATGATTACACGTATGATGCGTGGGAAGTGAATGAGCCACAGCTCAAATGGATCCGGCACATCAAGCAAGAGGATGCGATGAATTCGAGCCTTGCCAACGCAAATGTCCCGATTGACCGGCGACAGAGTGATACAATGAGGGATTGACTGTCAGTGCCAGGAATAAGACTTTCTTGAGACCCGAAAGAATGGAAAGGTCGAGCGGAGTTTGCGCTGCAAGCCGCAATTGAGGCATGTGAAGAAGAGCGATTGAAGCATGTGAAGAAGAGCGAGCCCAGACATTGCAATTCGCGGATTGGCAAGCCTGAGCCGAAAACAGCGCTGCAGGCGCCAAACTACCTGGCGGCAACAAGAAGAGCTAACTGGTAACTTCTTGGTCGTAATCAATTTGACAACAACAAAAATGTTCGAAACCATGAACCTTCTGACGCTTTCCCAGCTATCTGGGGTCTTCGACGATCTAATGATGCTGTTTTTATAGTTTTTAGCCTTCCGCCCTTCGTCCCCCTTCGGAGCCTTCGAAGCCCCTTTCGTCCTTCCCTTCGCTTTGTCCTCACCCTTCGAAACCTTCATCTTTACTTTTGAAGCCTTCGTTCCCCCCTTCGTCGGTTTGGTTTCAGAGTGGTGGCAGCTGAGAGGCCTAAAAGTGGCTTGGAGTCTTTGCGCCGAGTGGCAGCTTGCAAGGTCAGCGGGCACGCGCGCGCGCGCTCGAAAAACAACTGTGGCACTTGCACTTGCAGCCTCTCCAATCGTGCGGCGCAGGGTCAGAAGCGCGCAATCTGCAGGTGCTGAGTTTCTCTTCCGGTTCGTGCCAACGCGTGCTCCAGCCTCATCGTCGCTGAGGGCTGTAGAATCTGCAGATCGTACTCTGTGAAGAAGGCTGCTGTAGTCACTCTAAGCCGGGCGGGGCTTTGTGCTTGTAGTGTGTTTGCCTGGGACCGAGCAATTGCGTCGCACCATAAAGCCGCGGTGCGACAACAAAACTTTGAAACGGTAGTAAAGTGCCTGGTCATGCTCGAATCTCTGCTCTGCTTGATGCAGACTATTTTTTTGCTGCTGTTGCGCGCACATTTCCAAAATGAATTTGCTTTTCCTTGCATTTATTATCGCTCAAACAAGAATTTCGGTGTTTGGTATTTCTCGCAGAGTGGCTACTCCACTTTCTTTATGTCTGTACAATTTGAAGCTAGGGAGCTGCCGAGGCCCTTTGGTGATGTTGGAGGAGCGAACAGAACGTAGGTGGATCGACTTGCGCCGTGCAGATGCGACAAGTGTTGGTTTCACGAGTGGTTTTTCGACAGCGACGTCATGAAATGCTATGGTTTGTCAAAGTGGAGTGACTGTCGGTCAGCAGCTGCAGGATTGTGTGGTTTCGTTCTGCCCATGGGATGGGGCTTGTTGGATTGATTTCAGGTCTTTTTGTTTTTTCATTTGTATGGTCCAACCACTTCGGTTCGAAACCAACTGGTCGACAGCCACAGGCACGTTTGGTACATCAAGGGGACAGTTGCTTTGCAATGAACTCAGGCAATTTTGCAGTGGTTTCCTACGGCAGACAGATCCCTCTGAAGGGCAGCTTCTCCTAGCAGCCTTGGCAGGCCGTTACTGCAGTAGTGGAGTTGCGTGCGCTGCTGGCCGCATCCGTACGTACAGCTACTTCTCTCTGCTATCTCCACACGTGACGTAGTCCAGATTTGTGATTGAATTGTTGCATTGTTTTGACTTTGGACAGGATCTCGAACAGGGGCAGCAGATCGTTCCCGCACTGTGTAGTGCTTTGGTGTGGATTTTCCGTTCTTTTTTTTGGCCGGGTTGGTGTGTTGTTGGCGCGAATAGCAAATTGCAGCACAGCTCGCGTTTAATGTCGATGCATGGTCGATTTGCCGGGTATTGACAGTATTGACTTTAAATTTAAAACCCCAGCCATGCCTTCGGATAGCTTTGCTGGGCAGTCGGCCGATGTGTTGAGGAATCATTCACGGGAACATCACATAAGCAGTCGTACGGATTCCGCATTTGTGCTTTGGCATGGAGAAGACCTTCAAGCGGCGTGTGGCGACCTTAAAACGTGGAACCTACGCCAACACTAAAGAAGTCATTCAGTATTCCTGCGACTCAGGCGAAAAGAAAACTGGCCAGGGATCCCGTCGACCCGAAAGCCAAGAAGCAAGACTGGAGCGAGAAGGTCTTGCAGGGCCCTCAGACAAGGTGAGTTGCAACATGAATTTCCCATAGCTTGGTCTTCCATTCACGTGCTTCGTCGTGTGTTCTGACAAAGATGCTCCAGGAACAAGCGTGAATGGAAGCCGTCGAAGGAATACAATGGGTCAAAGGCCACACGTGCACTCCTCTCGTGCGCAGTTGTTGAAAGGTGCTTGCAGACCCTGCCAGCTCTGGCGAGTGCTGATCCTTGAAGTTCGACGTTAAGCGATAACAGGTTTGACTTTTGACCGCCTGCATTCGTACAGTACAGTGGCAAGTCTTCCAGAGCCTTGCATGGTTGACGAAGCAACCATTTGTCGGCCTTGCGGCAGGTGCGCAACGTTCCGTTCAGCGTTGCGGAGAACGAAAAAATCCGCAAGGCGACGGGAGCTTATTTGGCATTGGTGGAAAGCTTCACGCTTTCCACACGACAAAACCGTCAAAAGTGTGCGGTAAACTTTGTCTGGACGTATTGTTCAATGTGCTGACTCGGTGCGCCTGTGTAAAGCCGAGGATTCGAGCTTATTGTGAAGAGGAAGGGCTGGACTATGCTGCCGCGTGGTGGGCTGAGACGTGCTGAACTCCGGGAAGCACAATTGCATTTCAGATTCTATCCCCCTCCACAGACTTGCTGCACAGGTGCGAAACGTTGCACAAGGAAAAGAGAGGCTACAAGCTGAGCTTGCCAGGATTTTTTGCAGGCACGGGGTGGGTCTGCCCGCATGTGTACAAGGCGGCGCCTGGGGACGCATAGCGTTCTTTGCTGATCTTCCCAAACGCAGGGTTGCGAGCTTGGAGTTGTGCATGCAGTCTTTGTCACTCTCTGCGAATCTTCGTGAGACCTGGGCCATCGTGCAACGGGCGAAGAGGACCGGCCGGCCGGCTCAGGCACGCAGGTGCTCTTGCTGGGGATTTTCCGTGCAGGATTCTCTGGGGGCCTCACAGGCACGTTTCCTGCCAATCCTTGACAAATCATGGGGGGCCTTCTGCGACTGGCAAAGGTGGTCGCAACTAGAATTGCAGATCTTGATGGACGAGGCTTGCAGATCTTGAAGGAACTTTGTCATTCCAGGTAAGTGCCGCAAGCCCTCCATGAAGCTCGTGTTGTGTCGCTCACATCAGGGGCGACGACGAATCGAAGCATATTATCTTCATTCGAGCTGCTCTTGGCGTTTGTTGTTCCCGAAGGCTTGCTCAGCTGCGAAGCCGAGGCCATTCCGTGTTAGATGTGTGCGTGACTAAACCTGTCGTTTTCCGACAAAAGCGCGAAGAAAATGCTAGTGCATCGGCTGCCAGTTGGGTCCGGATCTCGAACCTTATTTCGGTGCTCGCCCAAGATGCCGCCGGTCGGGGTTCGACGTTTGTTTGGTGGCCTCAAGGTGAACCCGAATACGGTGCGTGACAAGTGGCGGGAGTTGTGTGGTGGTGAGAAGGTGAAGGGCAAGTTCTCACAGGCCGAGGACTCGAGGGCCAAGCCAGGCCTGGAGCCGCGGAAACCTTCGGGGAATCCGTGAGGATTGGAGGCTGCGCATGGCGATCTGCCAAGCAACCCAGAGATCCCTCCTCAGCTTCTATTGGGTTCGGCTTTGCACTGGCTGCATGCATAGTTGGGGTTCTTGATGTCTGAGGCCTTCTCCCGACGAAGAACATCCCCTGGACTTCGGCACAGATCTGAGTTTCGCCGGGAACTCTACCGGAGGCTCATAGAGAAACCTACTAACGATCACAGGTCCAGAAATGGATGCCACACCGGGGTTACAAGATGTCGCGCCCTTCGATTGTGCTATGTTTTGCCGTGAACAGCGGATTGCTACTGCAGCAAGCTGTCCGGAAGCAAGGTTGATGCAACGATGGTACCAGTACCTCATGCCACGCTTGTCTGCCTACAAGGCTGCAGCTGGGCTTTGTCTGCTTGACGTAGCCCTGTCCCTGTCCCGGTGTTTTTGTCAATCTGGATGCAGGACAAGTATGGTATGCCCGTCGAGCCAGAGCTTTTTGTGCGACATCTCTTGACCTAAGCTAAGTGAAGAGAGCCGCGACATTGCAGCCTGTGAAGGTCAAGACCCGCACCTGTACTCAGGCGGAAGCTTCGAAAGAGTGGCATCGACGATCCGATTGCAAGGGGCCTGGTATGACCGAGTCTCCAACTCCTCCTGGTCCTCTGCACGGCTAGCCGCTCACCCTGGAACTTTCTCTCACATCCTAACTGCATCATCCGCCTCTCCGTAGGCGGTTGTGTGTGTGTGTGTGACCAGTCCCGAATCGGCAGTAGAGAGAAGGAAAGTTGGGTTATGTCGCATTATGGGAGATCTTGCATGAAGCTTGCGGGGGAGTAGTGCATGCTGTCGGAGTCACCACTCAACGAAGACACTCCTTCAGCAAGGTGACATCAACCTGGGACGCTGGGTTGACGTACCTGCAAGTGATGGCTCGTGACATCCTCCGTACTTACGCCGTGTATGGTGCACAATCGTTGTTGCTGCTGGGCTTAATTTAACCTACAACAGGATTGGACCAGGTCCCCACCCAAGATCGAAGCTATCCCCGACGACGAGTTCCGGCAGACACTTAAAACACTCCAGTGTGTAGGTTTGTCATGCAACAGTGCATTGTGAAGACCTCCAGACCAGTCCCGTATTTCATTGAGCTTGTCCATTTTTCCTTCTAGTACTTCGAAGGAGGTGGAATGGACATCTGCCGGAAGCCTGGACATTCACAATCACTCATCATGTTGGCCCTGTCGGGTATCTAAGCCAAGGTCAACATCTGGTGGTCTGCGTCAATGAACCGAAACAAGTGGCGGGAGCTTGCAAAGAGAGTCGGCAGCTCGAGGCATAACTGCTTGTGCCATTGAAGCAACACTACATTGCTGTGAGTTTCTGCACCAAGGTTCCGTCAGACCTAAAAGAAGCAGGTATGCAACTCCAGGTACAGTGGTGGTACGAGGTGGGGTTCAGGATCTTTCCTACCTACCTGACCCGTTGTGCGGATGGGAGGCCCTTGAGTGCAAGGGCCATCGCAAACGGGACAAGGAAGTGCTTAGAGCTCAGACTGGCACCCAGACTCTGGGAGTTGAGATCTGTGGCTATCCGTAGGCTCAAGAGCATCGTCTCTGTGCTGGAGGCGGAGGCAAATGCGGGTGAGGGAGAGAGGGGACATGCACAGGTGTTCATGAGTTGGAGGTGAGCTCTATCACGTTTCCGGACCCGATGTTTAGACATGACCCCATGATTCCTATTACGGTGCGTTTCTGCTTGGTATCTAGGAGCATTTACGAGTGTACTTCTGCGAGATTTATGGCTGATTTCCCCGAGATGTATGCCTTATGTATCGGAGGATTTATGGCTTATATCTCGGAGCAGGCAAACACATCACAAAAAGATGAGCGAACTAATGCAAAAATGAAGCGGCCGCAAGCACATCCAGCAGCTCACAATGGCCATACGCCGAGTGACGAATACGGAATACGTCTCAAAATTGTATCGGCACAAGACATCACACACAGCATAAACAAAGTTGAGAATACAGATAGACCGATATCAGGCAATCAGCATGAACACTTGAAGATGCACCGACACATCGATAAGTTCGGGACCCTTCCTCTTTCTGTGTACAGTCACGCTTTCTGCAGAGACGGCCCCTTGCAAAGGTGAACCCCTTCTCGGACTTTAGGGCTTAGGACTTGTCCCCTTTGCCGGCTTGGGTTTGGGGGCACCTAGGATTAGCCTTAGATTTAAGGTTTGGTTTGGGGCATGTGAACTGGCAATCTGGGGTTTGCCGAATTTATGCTTTGCCCAATTTATGCGCAGACATCGGCCCCTTTGCACATGCTTTCCAAGGCCATGCAGGAAGACTGCGAAAGCTCCGAGGCCATGCAGGAAGACTGCGAAAGCTCCGAGGCCATGCAGGAAGACTGCGAAAGCTCGATGCCCAGAAGATTGCAGAGGGAAGTGTGCCGCTGTTCTTCGTTTGCCTTGCTAGTCCGTTTGCTACACCAGGTGAGAGTGGCAGCCAAGAGCGGCAGCCAAAGAAAGCGCCGCGGCAAGCGAGAAGTGCAGCTCGAAAAGCACGGTTCAAGAGGGGTCAGTTGAAGGTACCCTGCACGAAGCTTGGGCCATGTGTAGCTTCAATGGTGGATCACAGGTTGTGTGTGGTGCATCGTGGAACCAACCGCACATGCAATGATGTCAGTTTTTTTCTTTTCTTTGCACGGGGTGGCCTGTATATCTGAGGATGGGGTAGCCACACTCGCACAGGGTGCTGAGGGCCGAGGCACACGGTTCCGACAGAACGTGAAACATGGGGATGCTCAATCACTGAAAATTCGACTCCGCAGCAAACGGAAACTTGGACTTGTGCACGCAGGCAAAACGACAGGGTCTAGAAAGCACTAAACCAACTGTGCAGAGGACTAACTGTGCAAGGGTTAACATGAGGGGTGAGGATTCTTGCTGCACCGGACTTCCCAACAGCGTAATACGAGATCGCCGAGTCTGGCATCAGCCATTTGTGCAGACTTTGCTCGGCTGGATCTGTTGACGCTGATACCTCCACTCGAGAAGTGTCTTTGTAAGCAGTTTTTGGACCAGTGGGAGCTAGAAAGGTAGCTTGAACAGAGTGTTGCGCTTAACCTACGCACATAGTGCTGAGTTCTAGTTGACACAAGAGAAACAAGATCATGTCATGACGTCACATGGCCTGCTCGCTGCCACCCGCAGCGCTGGGTCCTTGCGGGCCAAAGTTTTATCCAAAAACCACGTGGCCCTTTGTGTGGTGCAGCAAGGCTTCTTGGCGCAGCGCAGGCCCTGAAGGGTTACAAGGGTTGACTCTGCAAATTCGCAGATGCAGGTGGGTTAGTCGGTTAGCATGATGCTTGCCATGGACGCTGCTGCGCCAGGACGGACTTTAAAGCTACCTCGGTTCATCGCAGAACATCGTCGCTTCATCCGCAGCGGCCTTTGATGCCTCTAGCCCACATGCTATTGCCGCTGACCGAACGAGTGCTGTGCATTGGTAGGAACTGGGTTCTTCACAGATGATGCAGACTTCCTTGATCCAGAGGCATGGTTGTGTTGCACAACCCTCTGCGACCTGCACCGAACTGCAAGAATGATGTGCGAAGGCTCCACTCCTGGCGGATCGTGTCAATGAGTGCGCCCAGCGATTGCGAGACAGAATCTTGTCAGCCCCAGTTGCAATGCACGTTGCGCATGGCGTGTGTGAAGGCGCTGGCGACATATGGATGATCCCACTTTGCAGGGCAAGGTCCTGGAGCGGCGGGCCCAGAGCTCCTTGATTGAAGCGCAGCTAAAGCATGGACTCTCTCCAGACGCAGCAATGTGGGTATGGGCATGTTGGTGCTCAACCGCGCCGCATGCTCAGCTGATTGCCTTCCCGAGCAGGTGGCCGACGTGCATGGCCACTGGCTCGAGTGATCTGAGCGTGCTCATCTCTCAGGCGGAAGGCCTCGATCTCCCGACCGTGAACGAGCTGTACAAGCCAAAAACCTCAGCGTGCAAGGTGTGTTCGTGTCTGTTAGAAGTCAGAGGTCTCTGTTTATTATCTGTTTGTTCACCAGAAGAGGCCCCGGAACCCGGCTCGTCTCTGCTCTCTAAGGCGCTTGAGGAATCTGGAGGTGAACAGCCTGAAGAGGTTTGTTGGGCTCACGGCTACCGAGCCCTGGGCTTGGATTCTGTGCCACCACGTGGCCCCTTGCTTGCGCTTGCGCTGTTCTCGTGCTATGAAAGGGAGTTCGGCCCAAAAGCCGATGCAGTCGAAGACGAGCCGGGTCCCAAGACGCTGCAAAGCACAGAGGCTCCACAGATGGCAGATTTTCCAGTGCCTGGATGAGAGTTCCACTATGGCGCTCAGGAACTTTCAGAGTTCGGTGGAGAGTGGAGATCGAAACCACAACAGCCTTGCGACGGGCCGCTTTTGCATCGGCCCGGAGCCAAGGAGTTCCGCTTCGGGCGATTTTCTCAAGGTGGCTCCCAGCCCAGGCTTGGATCCCAAGGAACTGCTTCTTGCAGCTGTTTACGCCTGGGTCCTGGGGCTCTGCTTTCGGAATTGCTCCTGATGAGACCTTTGAAACAAACGCTGCAAGGCGCAAAAGCATGGTGATCTTGCTCCCTTTTCAAAGGCTTTGCTGTGGAACAGCCAGGTGTGGTGACCAGTCATAACACCGGCTGTGAGCATGTCGTCCATAGATTCACGGGGAGTTCTCGGTTGACATTTCAATAGCCTGTCATGTGTCTCGTGATGCTTTACTTGGTGTTCCGTCAGGAATTGTCGTTCCTCGTGGCCGACTATCGGAAGCAGTGACCTCAAGACCAGGAACCTGACCAGCATGTCATGTTAATATGTCTTGACAAGGCCTTTGGTGTGCCATCTGAGTGGAGCAGCGCGGGACGGCGGCACGGTGCCTCGGCAACAACTGGAAGTGGACCTTATCTTCTCGAGCTTCGTAGCTCTTCGCCAGGCACTGGCCGGACTGGCGAGCTACTCTGGTGCATACAACGCATCCGAAATCTCCGCAAGATGCTCAGAGCTCCCCCTGCCTCTCCTCTTTTCCGACAGCGACCCCCAGGTCCGTTCCTGCTTCCACGGCCTGGTGCCAATGGGAGGCCGGGCATGGTCCAATGACGAGCTCGTCTGAGAAAGCCGAGAGAGAGATCCTATGACATCCGCTGCCTTGCAGATAGTCTGGTGTTTCTGTTTCTGCTTGCTTCCGTTTTCGTCCGGGTGATTCTATGTGCTCCGCACTCACGCTGGCTTGCTCTGTTGCTTGCTTGATCGATTTTACCTACCTGCCTTGGCCGCTCTTGCAGAGGCCAAACCAACAGCACGAAAAGCAAATCAACGGGGTGTCCGACTGGTTTTGTTTGGAGGATGCCAGGAGCTGGGCACACGTATGCACACGTGAGATGCCTGCACCTGCTGTTTTCACCGTGTCTTCCTCGAATCCAGAGAGCCGAAGAAGACGCATTGAAGTCGTTTCAAAGTTTCAGGGTGTCGATGTCCGATGTGCGGGATTCTAGAGTCTAGAGTCGGGGTCTTTCCGCAAAGACACGTATACAGTCAACAATACGGGCCGGGAGAGTCCTGTTGATATCCGTCTGTTGAAGTCTCGGTGACGGGGGAACGGTGGTTGTCCTTTCTATGCGTACCGTGTCATGCTCGAGCTGGCTGACTGTATGCATGCACTCATGACACTGTTCTTGCATGCCTCAATCTCTCTAGATCTCCATTCATCCTTGCACCTATGCGCGTATGCATCATTGTGCATCCATCTAGCCATGCAGCCATCCATGATTTACACAGTGCGGTGTGACCTGCACGTTCAAGCTTGTTTGTGAGATATATGCCCGTCAGCTCTATCGGTGAGAGCAGGATCCAGCAGCGGTTGCGAAAGCATCAATACATGTGAGGAACGGCTAGCACCCAACCAAACCAAAAACATAGCTGCAAAAGGAATGCATCATACACCACACGCACCCTGGATATCAGGCACGGGTTCAGGGCTAAGCATGCTAGAAGAAACGTTAAGCTGTTTACATTGGGAAAAACTACCGGCAGTGCCTGACTGCTTCGAGGCATGACTTCATTGCTGCGGCCCTGACTTCCAGAAACGGCCGCAGTTTTTTGTATTCTTTGGATCCACGCTGAGGCTCGGATCTTTGAAGTGGCACCTGGGAGAGTTCCTTGCGCTCACCGGTTGGCCAAACTCTCAGAGGGTGGCAGTGGAAGTGTTTGCTACCACATCCTAAGTACAGAACCCGAAAGCCCCAAAATCCTACAATCCTGAAGAGCCCGAAAAGCCTTCGGAAACCTGCAGGACGCTCCGTGGCTCCGATTTGGTTGCTCTGGGACTGGTCAGGTCGGGTTACTCGTAGCTTATTTCGGCGGAGTACGGCAGTGGCACGGGTGGAGGAAAAACTTCATGTGAGTGTGTGTATACATGTATACAAGTTTATATGTATGTAGAAATGAAAAAATATGTGCGCATAGATACGCAACCTTTGACATGTGTAGATAAAAATTGTAGATATATGTATGTATGTGTGTGTATATATATATATACATGCTTCCCCCCGATGTACCTGCCGATTTTGGTGTGTTTGTGTCGGCTATGCCCAGCATGTACATATGTAGCATATTTTCAAGAGGCAACCGAAGATGAATGCGGCCATGACACCTTAGATGCACACCTCATATTTCAAGACATGGTGCTGTTTCTGTTTTCTGTTGTGCTGTTCTTTGAACATGGAATAGAACTTGCCTAACTCTTGTCGGTCTGTCTGAAATATGATTTCATGCTCGAAACATGCATCATGAGCATTGACGTGAACATGGACGTGCTACACAGACTCTGCCAGCCAGATAGAAGCGGTCAGATACGTGTAAACAGCCGTTCGTTCACAAGGCAACTAACTGTCACAAGCGGTGATGCAACGAAAAGCGGGTACACTCATATATTGTGGGCCACAATTTCGAGCGAGCGGTGTGTGTGAAACATGACAGGGTCTGCACAGCTGGAGAACACATGCGAGACAGAAATGTGCTCAATGCGGCGTGATACCGCCCTTCATGTGCTTTGCCACAAGCTCGCCCGTGCACATCCAGAGGTCATCCTTTCGATGCCAATACTCGTATTGAGCACTCCGGATTTGTGCTGTGAGCATGAGAGAGGATGCCTTCACATGTTGGTTTCTGCACAGTCGTTCCTTGATGAACTTCCATGCTCGGTCATCGATTTGGCGACCATCGGGGAACTTAGGCTTGGAAATTCGGACGAAGGTAGGCTTTAGCTTTACCCATTTGTTATTCTTTTTGACTGTGCGCTTTTCGTGAACCACGGCATCATGGACGACTCCGGACAGTTTCATGCGGTAGGATCGTGCTGAATCTGTGTGTAAGATCACGTTGCCGTTCATGAGTCAGTGAGCAAGTGGCTTCCACTCGGCCCTCTTGATGGCTGCTGGACCAGGTGCTCTGGGAACAGTCATCGCGAATGGAGCTTCGTCAGGAGCAGGGTCTGTGGATTGCCTCTTTCAACGATTGCGCCCCATTGAGGTACAACCACAAATTGGGTGATGAGCTTAATGTCCCTATCTGTTTTGTGGCAGAATGGCGCTGGGATGTCCCTCGGGCTCCACTTGCCTTTTTGTGGCCGCTTCGATGGCCGATTGGTTGGGGGCTCGCTCGACGTCGTGAATGATGTCAACTCAACAAAGTGCTTGAGGGTGGTGTTGACGCCAGAGAGCTTTTGCAAGGGAAGATCCGCTACCGACATTCCTCCGGGAGCTGGATCAGTGAAGGTTGGGAAGGGCAAGGGTTCGGATAGATGCATCCTTTGTGGCTTCGATGCCGGTGTTGAGAGAGGCGTTCCCATCACGTCCTGCGGAGGCCACCGCGGAAAAAACGAAGCGAAGAAGGAATGTGGGCTACGTGATTTTGTGATTTCGAACCCGAGAAGACTAGTAGACACAAAAGACAAACCATGAAAACAAGAGCGCTTACCTGCACACACCTCCTTCACACAGTGCTGACCTTACCGGAATTTTCTTCTCACACACAGCCTCGGTCTAGGCCTTTGCGCGAGCTTCGACCTGATGCAAGCAATCGCGGTTCACGTGTCATGACTTCGTATGGTTTCGGAATCACTTAGAACTTAGAAGCTCATGTCTAGCCATGGCAACACAAAGGTTATTGTGTTGATTTCTTTGGATAGTACAGACTAAGAACACTGCGAGCCCTGATGTCCTTTGCCATTTTTATTGGTTTTCGCAACGTTTTGGACACCGTATGTGCCACTTGTATTGGTGTTTCCAATGTTTTGAGCTCCCTCTGTATTGGTTTTCGTCACTTTGGGATTGTACCGGAGAGCACGATTGAGGACTTGCCGAAAGCGCGATTAAGCGGGGACTGTGTAGAGAGCACGATGACTTGTCGATAGCGCGATTGACGATGCGGTTTTCAGAGCCATGCACGTAATCTACAGTGAGTTTGCAACTTTCAACCTAGACTCTACTTTAGTGCAACCGGCCGCCGTAAATGAGCAAGAACATGATCAATGTGCTGAGGTCCGTACCTGACAAGCAGGGAAATGGTAGGTACATGGGGGGTACCATATATATATTATATATATATATACATATGTATATGTATGCATGCGCACTTGTATATGTGTACATATATATATATATATGTATGCACAGACACACGAACACATGCATGGTACAAAAATCTGTGCATAGATGGATGACTAGGCACAAGTCAATGCAACCAGGTTCATGCGCATGTGCCACTATGTCAACTTGCCTCTTCAAACGAACAATACATACATGCGCATTTCTGGGTGCCGGAACCCAGTCCTTGCTCTTCGAGTCGACGTTGTGTGATAGCAAGAACAACACCACATGCGGTTTCGCATTGGCTTGGCTTCTGCTCACCCGAAGCGATGCTGTGAGTGTCCGACACTTGGTCTCATTCACTGTTGTTCATTTGCAGAAGACCTTCCCAACTTGGCCCCGTGGTCAGCGCCCCCAGAACACAGCAGCAGATCTGTCTGTGTGCTGTGTTTTCAAGCCAGGCACTGGATGTCGCCAGATGCCCTGCCATTCCTGGAGCTGACCGCAGAAAAACAGTTGGAGGCGCAGCCGCAGCTGTGACATGGCACTGTTATTGCATTTGGGTTTGGAAGGTGTCTGAAAGCGATGCTGCCATGCTGTTGACGGAGCACTCATTGCCACTACCGGTGAGCTGGCCTAGATTATCTTGACTAGTTTCGTGTCCTCAAGCCAGAGCTACAAACTTGCCAGGAGAGTAGCCTGCTGTCCGGCCAGCAAGATGCCCCGGGTTTCAAGCGAAGGCCATCCAATGTCACTGGAATAAATTAGCGAGCGGTCTTTGGAGTGAGATGCTATCCTAGTTCTAAGCAACAGACCTGGGCAAATTGCCAGTTACATTCCCCTGATTGAAGAGATCTTCAGCCAACCATCCCTGCCGAGAGTCATGGAGGCAGGTGCGCAAGGCGAGCATGCTGGGGTCTTGTAGCTTGGTCCGCAGGCACTGGAGAAGAAGACCAAGCAGCCTGAAACTGTTCAGAACAGCGAGTTCTTACAGGTCTGCTGCTGAGATTCTGAGATGGGGTACAGCCACCGTGTCGTTGGTTATGCTGCGTGCGTGTCACGAGCGCTTGAGGTTTGCAAGGACAGATTAAGCCGAGTGGACAAGCGAGCCGCCTGGATGACGTCTTCTGCCCAGTCCCGAAGCCTTACCATGCGGAAAGATGGTTCATTGTTCGGGAACAAACGAACTCTGGATGAAGAAGCCATTCGTAGCCTCGGGTGCCGGTCCTGTTTTACAGTGCAGGCAGGCCCTCATCCGTGATGCCCGAGATAGCATAAAGGTGCGGGGTACAGTCCCCAACTCTTAACTCCCAAACACGAGATCTGCCAGGCCAATCCCGAGCCTCCTGGCATCCAGAGGCAGCTCGGACTGAGTTCATGGAATGTAGGGGGCCGTTTGAAGGCAGTTTGTAAACCACAAAGTGCTCCACAATCACGTACATGCCTGAATCTGCCGGCATTCATCGTTTCATCCTGTGTTCCATCCAGACATGCCCTTCCTTCATTTTTGTTGAAGACACCATCCTGGACACTTTACTTCCTTGTTGGGCAGTGCTTCAATTTCTCGCCCTCTGGCATGATGGCCTGCTTGCCCCTTAGTTGCATGGTCTGCTCACAAGGAGGAAGAGTGCCCACCAAAAGAGAAGCATTGTGTTCATGATTGGCAGGATGTAGTTTGGAGTTTCTGCATGGAAACGCAGACACCTGAGTGTCGATGTCTCATAAGGCTAGAACACAAGATTTTATCCCAACAAATGGGCAGGCCTACGTCAGTAGTGGGCCTGGTCTTCTTGCATCGCTCGCAGATTCCATGTTGCTTATTGGGACTGGGATCAATGCATGTTTTGACAGAAGATGCAAAACTGCGGCAACACAGGCCTCACATCGCTACTGTGCACAATATGCAAGTCTCTGCGGGAAGGTTCCAATTGCCGTGCACAAGTGTTCGCAAATTTGTCGAGCAAAGGGCTCGCCGATCGTGCATCGGAGGTAAATCAAGACAGTACTGCTTCGCTAAAGCAGCCAGAGATTCGGACCCAACAGGTGGCCACTCCGGGGCCGTTTTTGCAGCCAGTCCCCGTGCTATGCAGGGATTTAGGGGTG